ATCTGCCCAAATTTATATTTACAAATTCAGAAAAAAATAATAAAAAACCACCAAAAATCACAAAGAGAATTCTCTTTAAAAATAAAAAAAAAAATCCAAAGAATTTCCCCAAAAATTCCAAAAAAAATCCCCCCGAAATTTATGGAATTCCAAAAAAAAAATTCCAAAAAATTCCCAATAAAATACCCTCAAAATCCACAAAATTCCAAAAAAATTCCCAAAAAAATCCCAAAAAATTCCCAAAAAACGCCCCAAGAAATTCCCTGAGAAATCCCCCCCTTCAAATCCATAAAATTCAAATGAAAAATTCAAAAAATTCCCCAAAAAAACCCAAAAATTCCCAAAATACCCTCCCAAAACTCCCCCCAAAAGATCCCGGAATCCCGGAATTCCGGAATTCCCGGATTTCTCACCACTCCCAGGCGCTCGCAGGTGTGCCAAAGGATGGAAGCGTCGGGAATTTGGGGATTTTCCAGCCCCGCCCTCAGCGCCGGCAGCTCCTCCAGCAGCTCGTCCCGGTGATCCCGAGAAAATCCTGGAAAAGTCGGGAAAGGAGAAAATCCCGGAATTCTGAGCTTGGGAAAATCCCTGGAATTCACCGAGTCCAACGAGAATTGGAATTCCAGAGGGAATTGGGGATTTTTCCCAATTTTCAGCCCAATTCCAGCCCCTAAAATGGGGAAATTCCTCGAAAATTCCCCAAAATTCCCCTAGAAATTCCTTTGGGAATTTCCCTTTTGGGAATTTTTCCTTTAGGAATTTCCCCTTTGGGAATTTCCCCTTTGGTAATTTTCCCTTTGGGAATTTCCCCTTTTGGAATTTCCCCTTTGGGAATTTCCCCTTTGGGAATTTCCCCTTTGGGAATTTTCCCTTTAGGAATTTCCCTTTGGGAATTCCCCTTTGGGAATTTCCCCTTTGGGAATTTTCCTTTGGGAATTTCCCCTTTTGGAATTTCCCCTTTTGGAATTTCCCCTTTTGGAATTTCCCCTTTGGGAATTTCCCCTTTGGGAATTTCCTCTTTTGGAATTTCCCCTTTGGGAATTTTCCTTTGGGAATTTCCCCTTTGGGAATTTCCCCTTGGGAATTTCCCCTTTGGGAATTTCCCCTTTGGGAATTTTTTTATGGGAATTTCCCCTTTGGGAATTTCCCCCTGGGCATTTTTTCCCGGGAATTCTCCCTCCGGGAATTCCCCGGGTTGCGGCCCACCCTGGAAGCAGAGCTGGATGCGCAGCAGGGCCCCGACGCAATCCAGGGATCGGGCGCGGATTCCGGGAATTCCGTCGGAGCAGCGCGGGGCCAGCAGAGCCAGGAGAGCCGGGAGAGCCGGGAACGGAGTCACCGCCTGCCGGGAACGGGATCGGGAATTGGGAATGGGAATGGGAATGGGAATGGGAATGGGAATGGGAATGGGAATGGGGAATGGGAATGGGAATGGGGAATGGGGAATGGGGAA